AAGTAAGTCAAAACTGTTCAGAATACTTTGATCCTGTCATATGTATTTGATCTGATCGTCTTTTATTCATGTTTTATTCACAGGCTGCAGATTGAAGAATCCACCAAACCTCTTCGTTTTTCTCAGAAGCTTGAGAAAGCAATCACAACCAATTACAAACCTGTGTCCAACCACAGCTATAATGTAAGTGTGTGCGGGGTTTGGGTATTTCCTACGTTATGGGGTAAAAAAATATCTCTACAAGGATGGCATAAATGATACTAAATTATGTTTTTTGAAAATTTAAAAAGGCAGGAAGTTTGCTGTGATTGGTAGGTTTAGGGTTATGGGATAGAATATACAGTTTTTACAGTATAATGCTAATGGAAAGTCCCCAAAATATGGAAAACCCAATGTGTGTACAACTATTTTCATGCGGACCGGTTTGAGTTTTAGATAGCAAAACTATTAATGAATACTCTGTTTTGCTTATGCTTCTATTCAGTTGGAATATGAGAAGAAAAAGAAAGAAGAAGGCAAGCGTTCAAGAGCTGATAAACAGAAGGTTCTGGAAATGCTCTTCTCTGCCTTTGAGAAGCACCAGTACTACAACATAAAAGACCTGGTGGACATCACAAAGCAACCGGTGGTGAGTTGTTCAGCTCAAGATGATTAAACGTGCAAACACTGTGCCATAGGAATAGAAACGGCTCTCTCCAGTATTTTTAATTTGGACTGCAGTACCCATTTTAACTGCTAGCTGTCAATATTACATACTGCACCTTTTAAATGAAACATTTTAAGGTGATATTATTGCAAAGCGCACTTTTTAAGTGTATCTAAGTGTGTTGAGAAAAAGTACTTTTTTTAATATAGGCTACTTTGAGGTGCTGTACACTATGAGTGTGCATTCAATACAATTAAGCTTTTCTTTTTCACAAGGGTTTTTTTTCTGACAACATTAATGATGACAGTCGTAAATCTCATTTGTGTCTTTCTTATCAGAAATCATACACAAGAGAGATTAAACCAAATAACAAGAAATCACACATATTTAACATGGACCGACTTGGTCTTGATTATATTATCATAGATAAGTGAGCTCCTATGAATAAATGCCACTTGACTGCTGCCTCTGTCTCCTTGAAGGATTGTGGAAATATAAATGTGATTGAAGTTAAATGAGTCATAACTAAAAACAAACTAAACTGAGTAAGAAAATTACTTCCCACAGTGATTTCGCCATTTAGAGGATAGATTGCACCAGTGAGGCTAAATAAAGAATGTATTACTTTTCACAAAGTTGTCTGAGAGACTTTTTACATTGTTTTTTTATTTTTAAAGTTTTATTAGTTAAGCTCATTGAAGTAATGAATTCTTGTCTGTTAGCAAATGATTATGACACAAGAAAGTTGGATGATTGGATTGGATTTTGGCAGCATGTGTTCACCCTGTCTATCTACTCTTCCTCTAGATTTACCTGAAGGAGATTCTCAGGGAGATCGGTGTTTATAATCCTAGAGGGCCTCATAAGAGCACCTGGGAGCTGAAACCAGAGTATCGCCACTATGAGGAAGGACAGGAGGAGGAGGAGGAAAAAATGGAGTAATCCAGTTTACATAAGCCTGGGGGTCTGATTTCTTTCATGCCAACTGTTGTTTCTTTCTGTGGCTGTGCCAGATTTTTTTTGGTCTCTTGTTCGTAGACCTTGTTAACTCTCAGGTGGAATGGATGTCAGTAGAAAAGAAATGAAGATATACTTTTTTTCTTGGGTTACATAAAGTGTTTCTCCAAGAGCATTATGAAATGAATACTTCAATTTGCATATGAGTCTTGCATTCTTTTGAGTTAAGAGCACTTGTGTGTGATGGTTACAGGAGCATATAATATAAATGAAAACACAGATACCCTTTGGACTTTTTCCTATTAGTTTAATATTTTGCATAACTCTCGTCAGTTAAAGGAGTAGTTAACTTTTGAAAAAACTTTTGCTGATAATTTAATCACCCCCATGTCATCCAAGATGTCCATGTCATTCTTTCTTCAGTCGAAAAGAAATGAAGGTTTTTAATGAAACCTTCCAGGATTTTTCTCCATATATAATGGACTTCAGTGGGCACCAAACGGTTCAAGGTCCAAAAGACACTTTCAGTGCAAATTGTTCAGAGGGCTTTAAATGATTCCAGATGATGAATAAGGGTCTTATCAAGCGAAACGATCCTTCATTTAAAAAAAAAAAAAAAACAACAACAACAAAGTTTAAGTTTTATAAGCTCAAATGCTTGCCTTGCTCTGTACTGTGACGTACGTTTGTGACTCTCCTGTTCGAACTCGTTCATCAAAATGAACGAATCTTTTTCTGAGTCAATTCGTTCGTTGAACCAAAATGACTTGGAAAAAGATTTGTTCAACTTGTGAGTAGCTTGTCAAGCTAGTTTGAGTAGCTTCCCCAACACGGTTTACTATGCATATCCTTTATTTCCAAGTTATGCATGTTTAACAGTACAAGATATGAAGTAAACCTGAGATAAGGACTATACATGCTATTTGTGCAGTTACATTGCATTTCTAAAAATCATTTGGTATCCTAGTCTTGTTTTAATACATTTCAAAGATGATTTTTTCTTTTTCACTTGTCAAATAGTATTTTGCTAACGCCTTACTTTAGTGTCCAATTCTCACTATAAACTAGTTGCCTATTAGCATGTATATTACAAGGATGTTGGCTGATTATTAGTACTTATAAAGAAATTATGCACCTAGCACTCTTCAGTGTCAAAGATTAAAACTGTGTGCCACAGGAAATGTTCAGAAACAGTACATCCACTACAAATATTTTTATCTAGTCATAATTTTTACTGGCCTTTTGGATATTTTTTTTTAAATGTAATCTGAGTGCTTAACTTTGAGTAAAATATTTCTTTGTATATCAAAATGAGAAAGGTTAAAATAATCATTAACTTGATTTCTTCACTCATTCCAGCAAAAGTGCATACACAAGGTCTAGAGTGTGCAAAAATTTACACACTTCATTTATCACTTCAGGATCACTTGGAAATTAAAGGCAGGTGTGTTTAATTAGGGTTGTATGACCTGTGCAGGAGCAGGGTTGGAATCCCCTGCCGTAACATCTTTTAGACCTGCTTGCAATCATTATTCTCAACAGTTTTAACTCTTTAACTTTTTTCCATTAAATTTGCATGAAGGCAACACAAGTTCACTACATAGACGTTTTATTTGGGTGCAACATTTCATTTAGATTCAGGGTATATACAGTAATCCTTAAGTTAAATTTACTACTTTTTAGTACCTTTTTTACTACCTTCAGAATTTTTTTTAAAACCATCACGACACTGAATTGCAAGTGTTAACCAGCGACTTTTCTATTACACAGATTTTGACATTTTATAACATACAAAAATGAATAGATTTAGAGCACACATTCCATTTTTATGTTTAGTGGATTGCATTTGCGACCGAAGTGCATTAGCTCCCATCCAGTTGACATTGATGTTTTTTTACACACCAAACAATAGAGGGAATGCATTGACATCACTTTCCCGCCGGTACAACCCCCCTCAGCCTGACTGAGTGGCAAAAGATCTGCTCCGTGACTGGATTTAATAGGGGAAACTATTAAACGAAAAGGCGACTAAAACTAACAATTTGATCAACTTAAACTAAATTTTGGACTCAATATAGTTGGACTCCTAACAACTTACTAAAGATCCAGTGATCCATGGATATTGACATGCAGCCAGCAATTGTGTCACCTGACATTTATGTTTGCCTGATTTCAATAAAAGGGAAATAAAAACAATATATAGATCTACATAGGCTAAAGCAAATTTGCTTGTGAACGCTTTATAGAAATACAATATAGGTAGGTGGTATAAATCCGGGTGATCACTTATATCAGGGTTATATAGCCTCTATATATCGTCATATCGTCCAGCCACTGAATATGACGTCAGCATCAAACATCGACAGAGATGAAAGATCTTTGATTGTGCCTAGATAAGCTAAAGCCCATATTTATACAGACTAACGCAAACACAAAATAGGACACCTGATAGTCTGAAAAAAAATAATACCTAATTTTAAAAAAAATAACACCTCCCAGACTATATTTAACACTTTTAATGGCCTTAAATTTGACAATTTTGATTTCACTTTTTAATACTTTTTAAAACCCCGCGGACACCCTGAGATTGGGTAAAGCTATCCAAACTGTTGTCCACCTAATAAAACACATTCAAGTGTCTATGGTGTTTCCATAGAAGAAAAACTGGAAATCGATGGCAAGGCAGATATGACGTCATTGACAGATGTCTCTTGATTTACAAGACAATTTAAATACACAAGTCAACAATATGCAACACCATTCTAGTGTTTTTTGGATGTTTTAGTTGTGCCTTTAACAGTGTAGTGTATAAAATGATATTTTTCTTTCAACATGCAATAATGAGCTACAATTTTTAAGATGAAGGCAAAGTCACTTTTATTTACATTTATTCATTTTGCTGACGCTTTTATCTAAAGCGACATACAATTGCTATATATGCCAGGGGTCACACGCCTCTGGAGCAACTAGGGGTTAAGTGTCTTACTCAGGGACACATTGGTGTCTCACAGTGGATTTGAACCCAGGTCTCACACCAAAGGCATGCGTCTTATCCACTGCACCATCACCACCCCATGTTGTCATTACAATGAGCATCAAACAACTGCAGCATGCTTTGTTTGGATTCCTTGCTGGATGTTTATAACGCAACAGGAAAAAATCTAGTGGAAAGCTTTAGACAATGTATGTCATGTCTTGTATACTACATTTACATGTGTTCATCTCTGCTTTCTCCCTATCTGATGTGTGAGAGCTAAGTGTGGTAGGTAATGTAGGTGTGAAATTCTTATTCCATCACCACCTTCATACATTTGTTTTTCTCAGCCTTTCGGTCCTCCACTGTTATTTTTCTTCAGCTTGGGTGGATCATCCATGCCATCTGGATTTATAGTTCTGCCTGTGGAAAAACTGACAAAAGAGGAGGAGTCAAAAATAGAGTCCTCAGACCTTCAGGCATACAAACCTGCAGAGAAAATGTGTGCTCAGCTAATACATGCTATTATGTAGTTTCACTGGTCGTGACCTCAGCAATTTTGTAGTCATCATTGCACATCTTTACCCCATTCATTTTAGTCCATGTTGCTTAACTATTTGCAATAAAGGTGCATCTAAGTTAGCTTAAAGTATCATACCTTGTAATCATTTACATTGTTTATTTTCTTTGAGTGACATTCAGTTTGACTTCATCTTGTCTTTAAAGTTGCAAACCTAAGAGGAAAAAAAAAAAAACACATTAAGCTCATTCACCATCATATATGCCACACAGGTATAATATCAATTTTATTGCATATTCATGAGGCAGAAGGGCACTTGACTTAGTGAGCACTTGTATGCTAAAGCAGTACCTGACAGCACCATGTTAAACGCATTTTCATTTAATGGGCACCTTCCCTCTGCTCTCGACTGATGCTCGGACTTCAGTGTGAGAGAGCGATCCATATCGGTTCTGCAACCCATCTAGTGAGAAAAGGAGGAGAGTCAATTAACCATTCCAGAACTACGGCCATTCAATCATTATCAAGGGTCAGGGGATTTTTTTTTTTTTTTGTCAAAATAATTAAATACATTACATACTGCATGCAATTCATGATAACAAATCTATGAGGGCGTTTTTCTTTCAGGTGAAAAAATTAAACTAAAAAAAACAAAATTACGTTACTAAGTTAATAAAATAGATGAGCGGAAATTGCATTTAACGGTATAGAAAATGATGCATACATATTGCAGCTTTGTATGATTTGATTGATTACATATCTAAAAACTTGTCACGTGCACCTTTGGTCCAATTCGATAAAATCTGTTTTTAGACCAAATTCATAAGCATTTAGCATGAAAATATTTTAACACAGAGTATATTTAATACAAACTCCAGATTAAGCTGAACTGCACCAAGAGACTAATATTTGTCTGAAATAAGATACAGTTTATACATTTAAAAGTAAAAAATGCACAACATGTTAAAATATAATTTGTTATAAACAATATAAATTATCAAGTAGTTCATGGTGGCCGAGGCATGATGGTGAACACGTGGTCCGCAGGCCAAGGCCTGGACAGCGTGGAAAACCGCACAACCTTCAGACCAGATACGTGTGCATTTAACATTGTTGTTAAAGTTCAGATTACCTTCTATGCCGTCTTGAGGAGTCATTGTAGCGGATAGTAATTTCGCTCACTGATTCTTTTGAGGCTATGTTTACACGGAAACGCGGCGGTGGAGCGTTTATAAGATTTCTACTCTGGAGGGTGGTTTCACTTTTTTTTTTTTTTTTTTTTTGCGTTTTTAAGCCTCAAAAACGCCGTCGCCGTGTAAACGAAAGGAACATCCGATCAAATATTTTTACGTTTTCACCAGCGAGCGGAGCGTTCTCGTGTAAACAGGGACTAAGACTCCAAGATCCTCTGCTTCATCTGCGATATCTTCGAAAAGGGGGAGAAACTTTAAGACACCGGGGTTTAAAAGCGGCAGGAAATACGTCATCACTCGCCTCTCTCACATCTCCGCCTATCGAGTGGACACGTGCGCCTCCTAGAGGACATTACACTCATATACCAAAATCACTCAAAAATATTTGAGACTATAATATTTGAGAAATATTTGAGAATTTAATTTAATTTTGTCATTGTCGCTGATAAATTTGATCGGAAATTATTAGTTCAATTACTTTCCAACATGTTTCATTTAGTTTAAGTTGATGTATTAAAAAAAAAACTAAAACTAAAATAGGCTGAACTGCATAGATATATTTCCATCAGTAAATTAACAGTAAATTAAAGTTGCAGTAGAATTATTTATTTATTTAAGTTAGATCTAAGTATTACAAACATGTTCAGCAGTGTAGGTGTAACACAGTTCCGTGGTTATTTGATGAAGCTCGAAAGGTTTCGGACAAGGAATAATCAGAAAGAAATAATAATTTATTTAATATCTATTGATTTATTCAGACACATTTAGCGGAAAGCCATTGTTATATTTTTTTAGACCATATTATAGCTTTCTAATTTCAAAAACAATGCAAAAATGCCCACTGTTATCTCACACAATTCTTAATGGTAATACACATGTAGCCTAGCTATGTTTTAATTGCATAAGCCTGCCTTTTTTATATAAATGTAGCCACATATGCTATATTAGATAGACAGGTTCCCTGTTTTAGTAGTTCTGCCTGTGCTCTCAGTTTCAGCAGGTGGTGCTATTCAACAAGCCGTTCAATCTGATAGACCTTATTCAGAGCAGCGCCATGACAGGTCTGATTATGAAAGCGAGGCTGAGGTAGCCTGGACTGCATCCGCTGTATAAACCGCCTAGTTCACTTAGAAAAAAAGTCCTTTGCCATCGGAACAATCCAAAAATAAATGTAATAATATCAGATATATGCTACAAAAACAAAGATGTAAACAGCCTCGCTTTCATTCCCTTAAAAAAAAGAGATCATGCTGATGCTGTCAATAGTCTAACTCAATAAGATAAGAAGACCATCGCCTCCACCTATTTAATGTTGATCATCAACCCCGTAATACTGAAACAATTCATGAACGTTGCAACCCGGTATCACGACAAGACGTGAAATAATCACATTGGTCCACTTTGGAAAACGTGTAGATGTCACGGTTTAACCCCCTCAAACGTGAAACTTACATTTGCTAACACGTTCCAGTGGAGAGATAACGACCTATTGCCTGGTTTTCATTAAACCGAGAAAAATGGAATTTTGTTTTATTGACGATCACTAAGAAATGTTCTATTATTTAAAATGCAAAAACCATTTATTATTTTCAAGGTGAAAAGGATTCATTTGCCTTGATCCACGCCGTTTTTAATGAAGTAGCCTATAGAATAAAAATTCAATTTTTCTCGGTTTAATGAAAACCTACATCCGGGTATCTCTCCACTGGAACGTGTTAACGCAAACGTGAAAGTTTCACGTTTGAGGGGGTTAAAGCGTGACATCTACACGTTTTCCAAAGTGGACCAATGTGATTATTTCACGTCTTGTCGTGATACCGGGTTGCATGAACTAGTAGGCTAAACAATCTAATCTAATGCTGAAAAACTGTGCTTAGGGGGCTTTTTGAGCACAGACAGATGATTAATGCTGCTTTTTTTTGTCTAATTAGTGTCTGGGCAAAATTAAGTCATTTGCAACCGATTTCATTCCCCCTCGGGATATAGATAAAGTAAACGGACCTTATTTTGTATTAAAACCCCCGCTTTTCTGTTTTAATGCTAGGTATTGCCACGTGACTGTGTTATTCATTGCCTGCTAAGAGATAATAAAGCACTTGTACATTTATAAATGCCTACACTAATATCCAGATGAGGGCAGTAGTGCGTTACTGTCTGAACCATAGACTGTCTGAACCTACAGTCTGAACTTACAGAGAGTCTGAGCCACATTTTACACGTTTCTTCTGGAACTAATGCATTTAAAACTGACACAATTCCTTTAAATATACAGAAATGTCATTTAAATTAGATCTTCTCAAATGAAGGCTATAGCATAATAATTTAAAGTTGGCTGTTATAATGTTTCTGCACCTGATTATTCTTTTCACTTATTTCCTGCAGCAGTGATGCTAACAGCTAACAATATGTGCCAGTTGTTTCAAGGCACCTCACTGTACATCCACTTGAGAGATAACAAGAAAAAGCAATCAAATTCTCAAATTACCAACAACTTCCCCAGGTTCAGCTGACTGTCCAATTATCTGCTGGCCCTTGATACAACAGCCAGTGACGCAATTACAATAAAATGCTTACACTCTGGGCTGAAAATGACTGAATGTCCTTCAATCAGTGTTGGATTGTGTGTCCTTAGAGATATGCTGCATATGCAGATGAGCTGCTTAAAGAGATGCATTGGGTCATAAATGCCCAGTGCAATTAAATTCTTCAAACTGGGGATGAGACTCGGAGTGATTTATCAAAATGAACCTCTTTCCAGTTTTTATCTGGGGCATAGAGAAAAGTCAACGCTTGTGAGACCTTTCATAAACTCGTATATGATGCAAACCAGTCAATATCCTGCTTAAAACTCAAATGTGTAATCTGTAGACGGCTTAAATCTTGACTCTTTGTGGAAAGCAATGGGCACATTCATGCAGATTTTGGGAAATGAAAGTTTTTAAATATTAAAGGTTTCAAAGATTTACTTTGACCATTTATTGGCTGTTCATGCATGCTGTCGGGTTATATTTATGGCAGTAATTTTACTGTGTTTAATTGGAATATGAATATTTTAATGTGTAGTTTATACCCTTAAGCTGTAAGAGACTGTCAGAAAATGTGATTTTAATCACAGAATTAGAAAGTGTGGATTTTGTGAGGTTCATTTTTGCATAGTTAGACAAATATGTACTTGTGAAGATTCATAAATCTGATGGGAACTGAGTGGACAATCGATATTAGATTTTCAATCAACAAAATGGAAAGTATGGAGATCATGCTTGTGTTTTATTTGACAATAAGGGTTTTGTTAGCATTAGTAATGTATTAACCTGTGTGTGTTTAGGCTATGCAAAATATAGTGGCCCCAGACTTTTGGACCCCACTGTATCTACGTATTAGCGTCATCAACGTATCATTAGTGCACTGGAGACTTTGGCCACTCTCCTACTGGTTTTGACATAACTCATGTTGTTTTAATTCCTCAATGGTTAAGTCATATAGAGAATCAGGGTAGTCTGGGGCCGCAGTGCCTTTTTTGGGAATGTCATGTGAGTGCGCTGATGCCGTTTTGCCTGAAAATAAAGTTGGAGCTGTCTGGAAGTTGTGGAATGTGTAGCCGGCTCAGGGCCAGCGCTGTGTTTGGAGTCAGCCGGGCCGAATAGCAGAGGGTTCTCAGGGACACCCAGACAGGTACCGCTGATCATCCTTCTCCTCCCACCGCATGCAATACGGAAAAGCACTTCTAAGAATAGCTTTTATCACAGTTGAGCAACACTGTGAATCGAAACGCTGAGGTCCATCATTTGATGACAGCTCTTATTTTCTGCTGAAGGGAGGACATTTGCTGCTGATGTTCATGTTGCAGGACCAGTGCTTTGATGCCCTTTGGCAAAGTGTCCACACTAATGGAGAAAGAGTCTCCAGTGTCTCCCACTGGAATCTGAAAGGGATAATTCACTCATAAATGAAACTTCTGTCATCAAACATGAACACATTTTCGGAAACACAAGAAGAAATTATGTTATTCTTTTTTTGGACATTTTGGATAAATATCTCTTTTGGTCGCCATTCATTATTATGGAAAACAGTAGCTTGAATATTTTTCTAGATATCTCCTTTTGTGTTCCACAGAGGAGGACATTAATACTATAACTATGAAAGTGAACTGTCCCTTGTAGCTGTAAAGCACCTCCCTTTATCTCCTTCTTCAAAACATGATGTCTTTAAAGACCATTTCCCTTGCTCTGTAAACTGCTTAACATGTCTTACAGCAAATAAAAAGTCACCCATGCAGAAACAGACACTCTGCCTTACAAGCCAAATCCCAGAAGGACAATAACAGTTAATTCCTTTCATTATTTTATTCCCATTGCAGGGGGTTATAAATTGAACAAAGTCGTCTAGAAACTATTTCAGAATCTCCCAGGGCAGCCCTAAGGTTTAATGGAACGTGCATGATCTTATCTTTGGGAAGGGCCATTCAGTTATTGGAGGATGAGAAAGGAGTGGAACATTAGCCCATTATCATCACCACAGTGAATCTGTGTTTGGTGGGCATTAAAAAAACTGCACTGCAATCAATTAAATAAATTCCAGCACTTTCTTATGTAAAGGAGAAATAGACTTACGGATGTTTTATGGTAGGCTATACAGACCCTTTGTTTTCAGAGTGACAAAGTATGAAAGGTATCCCTTGTGAAAAAGAAGTACACTTTAGCGTTACTTTTAAAAGAGTACTCATTATGAAAATAATATACTTTTAAAGAGTACTTAAGGACTTAAGTACATCTTGATATTTCATAATTACTTCGTTTGCCTTTGAAATGCGGTTAAAGTGTACTGACGCATGTGCTTTTGTAAACTAAAATATACTTTAATGTCATTTCAACTTGTGTCATGAATTTAAATACACATTATTTGTAATTTCTAATTTGTAATGCAGTTGCTATTTAGCACATTTAAAATACATTCACTTTAAATGTAATCCTGAATAACACAGTACAGTTAAACTTATAATCAAGAGCTTTACATGAGCTTTAGTATGTTAGTCAACACATGAAAATATGTGTACTTCTTTAAGCACAACAAACGATG